CAAAATTATCATTTAATGATGAATCAATTTTTCCAACATGGTCTATTGTTGATCCATGTTTTACTATGTCTCTTCCAGATAATCAAATTAGAAATGGACTTGTTGATTCATTTGTTCATTGTATTGAACAATATATTGGAAATTATCATTTAAATCCCGTTGTAGAAGCAGAAGCAGAAGGTGTAATGAGAACAATCATTGCATTATCGCATAAAACATTAGAAAATCATCAAGATTATCAAGCACGAATTACATTCTGTTATGCTGCAACAGTAGCATTAAATACAACACTTTTATGTGGAGTACAACTTTGTGGAGGAGCACATGCAATAGGACATGAAATAACTAATTATTATGGACTTGCACATGGAGAAACATTAGCAATTACAACATTAGGTGTAATGAGATTTAATAAAGAGAAAAATAGAAAGAAAATAATTCAAATGGGAGAACAAGTTTTTGGAATTAAGAATAGTACAGCAGAAGCAACAATAGAAGCAATAGAGAAATGGTTTAAATCAATTGGAATGAAAACAAAATTATCAGAATGGGGTAAAGGAAAAGAAGAATTTGAAAATATTGCAAGAAAATTTGAATATAATCCAGTTGGTGCACATAAAGACATTGATTATAAAGGATGTCTTCAAATTCTTAATGATATTTATTAAATTATTAAATTTTTTAAGACTTTTTTAATATTTTTTTAAAGATAAAAAAAAAAAGAAATGAAATAAAAAAATTATTTAAAATGAAAAGGTTCTAACTGATAAAGATGTAATAAACGATTTAATCGTTCTTCTAACCATTTTTTATTATCTAAATCTAACCAATCATTAGGCATACAAATTCCTTTTAAATATGTTCCAAGAACTGCTCCAACTACTGCTCCATTTGTATCTGCATCACCTCCTTCATATGCAATTCTTTCAATTAATTCTTCAAATATTATTGTTTTATCTATTCCTTTTTCTTTCATTTTAAATGCTTCTCTTAATGATAATATAGCACATCCTACAGGTTTAAATGTATATCCTATAGATTCATTTAATTTTATTTCTTCAAGTGTTTTAGCATTTGTGTATTCTATAAATTCTTTTTTATATTCTTCATTTAACATTTTTTCACTATCATAAATTGATTCTTTAATTATTTCTTCAATATCTTCTCTTCCTTGTAATAATTTTGCTAATATAAGTACAATTACATTAACAGATGCTTGACATCTAGGATCTGCATGTGTAGTACTTCCTATTTTCTTTGAATTTTCTTTAACTTTTTCTTCATCCCAGAAATATGGTATTGCTAGAACTGATGTTCTCATCACACTTCCATTTGGTGCTGCTTTACATCCTCCTTCTCTCCAAATTTTTTCACTTTGTCCAATTGGATCATTAATCCATCCTTTACTTCTTACTATTTTTCCAAAATTCTTTCCAATTCCAAGTCCTCCTAAATCTCCTAATTCTGTAATCCAAAATGAATCCAATAATAACAT